GCAGAAGGTCGTGGGTTCAATTCCCAGGGAACACATACTGGTAAAAAATGTATAGCCTGAATGCACTAAGTCGCTTTGGATAAAAGTGTCTGCTAAATGCATAAATAAATTAATTAAAATGAATCTCTGCATATTGCTGTGAGTTTGGGTTTATTATAACGTTCAACTGGAAATGCAACGTGCGCCATTTCATCAAATGTGTAAGGTAAATCATTTATAAACCTACACAAACACAGGCGCCCCCATGACTTTTATTAATAAAATGGCTTAGATAGGCTACTGGATCACTGCATTATATTCCTCAGCATCGAAGAGGTAAAATCTCTCTTTAAGTAACTAAACTCACAACTTCATTGCTTGTAGAGAGAGATGCACAGACGCAGGTAATTCACACACTCAACTGTCATCTCTCTTTCTCTCTCTCGAACAAACGATCAATAATTAATTCAAATACATTTCATTATTTCACTATTTCATCTGTGTCTGATTTGAAGCGGGCAGAATGCTAGAGCTAACGAGCTGTAACTGATGAAAATAACCATAATTTTTACCCATTCGGTCAAATATTGCGCTGCATAGAGCAATACTACTTTTAACTTGTCCAAAACTTGGCAAATGACCATGGAATAAGCAGGTCAGGTGGTTCTTTGCCTCCGCGTCTGCATTTAAAATACTTTAATGCACGGCAAGCCGTTGATTATTCCTTACTTAATTGCTATTATATATGTATTTTAAGCAATTCTAAAGGCTATTGTTCGCTTAGGTCTATTTTTATTACGACAAAAAAATTAATTATTAATTATCCGATTACTCAATCGTCAGAATAATCGACAGATTACTCAATTACCTAAATAATCGTTAGTGACAGCCCTACTCTATAAGCAGTAGGGCTGTACAATTAATCAAATTTCTAATCGCGATTACAATTATGGATGCCACAATTACGTAATCGTTCAAAGCGGCAATTAATCATTCAAAGTCCACTTGTTATTCTGTGTGCTTAAGATGCTTTTTTTGTTCTTTCTACATGTTATCTTAAGGGTTTTTCCATTGTTTAGTTTTAGTATAACACTATGTAACGAATCAGCTCATGGGAAATATGAATAATTAACCAAAGAGACATAAGGAATGAAATTTATGGAACCATTTGCCTATTCAGCAGATCTACACCTGAGGGATACGTCAGATTCTTAGTTCAAACACACCTTTGTAAAAAGGTGCAAATGATACCTAATTAATAAGACTAAGTTTGATATTGGCAAGTCTCGTCTGTCTGAAAATAGATTCCTGATGCAATCTTAAGGCCCAAGATCTTGCTGAAGTTGGTTGATGAGAAAGAACCAGTTTGCGTCAGAGTAACTTGATGAATGGAAAGGACAAGGCCGAAGCCTGGCGCAAGCTTAGGGTTTCCGGGAGCGTTTTTCTCACCACCTCGCAGAATTCCAACAAACCACCAACTGGGGCGGGTCACATGAAGTGTGGCCTTTAAAGCCTGCAAAGATTCACGCCTCTCAAGATGGGCTTGTCCAATGAGGATGTCCGGAATCTCAAGTGGGAGTTCTGAGATACTGGGGCATTTTTGTGGCCCTTTGTTTGAAAGCATGGTAATTTGCATATGAAGCTTGTATAAAAATTATTAAAGACTCTTAGAACACTAATATGTTGCGTAGGTGTAAACATACAATATACACTCTCAATTAGATCATCCGAATACGAATTCATAGGTACTACACATGGTAGAGTTATATATATGTAAGCTGACAGGAGTGTGTTTCGATTATAAGTCTGCATAACAGTATACAATTTCAAAGACAGAATACACGATGACAATAATATACCCAATGACCTGAAGGATCATGTGTGTTCATTCAAAGAAAGGTTTTCCTATGAATTAATTAGTAGAAAAGTCAATTTCTACACTGCCTCTTGCCCTGGGACATGCAGGGATTTTCCCTGCTTTGCATTCCTTTGGCCAATAAAACCCAGTGATATCAGCATTGGTTGCCATGGAACCAGGGGCCTGTTCGGCTTCCTGGGGCGTTACGCATTTCGGGGGGAAGGGTTCATAGGTCCTCATATGGCTTGTTAACTGAGGGGTGTTACAGAGTATTTGTTAAATATAGCTAACAAAATATATATTGTGTGTTTGATTGGTCCAGACGCTACAACTATAATACCATTTATATTTGTACTTTTTTTCATAATTTAAAGAAGAAACCAATCCGATGTATAGTTGACATTTGAGGCTTAATACTATAGAAAAGTTTTTCAGGTTGTGTTTTAGCTCGTTTATTTTCATATAAAAATATGCCATGCAGTTGCATCAAACAATGGTATAAACATCATTCAATGTAAATTGTGATAATCGTAATTAATAATCGCAATTACAATTTCAAGGCAATAATCGACAATTATGATTTTTGTCATAATCGTGCAGCCCTAATAAGCAGTTCTACATAGACTACCTTATTATTGAAGTGTTGAGATTTATTTGAGTGTACATTAGATTGTTTTCCATTTACCAGTTAAGATTTCCAAAAATATTTGGTCCAATTTTTACATTGGCCTGAACAAAAACCATCGCAATTACAATTTCAAGGCAATAATCGACAATTATGATTTTTGTCATAATCGTGGAGCCCTAATAAGCAGTTCTACATAGACTACCTTATTATTGAAGTGTTGAGATTTATTTGAGTGTACATTAGATTGTTTTCCATTTACCAGTTAAGATTTCCAAAAATATTTGGTCCAATTTTTACATTGGCCTGAACAAAAACAGCAGAAAGGCTGAATGAAAATGTAAATCCACTCTCTGACAGCAAGTGGTGCTTATGGAACAGCAGAAACACTACTTTATTACTAATTATAAGCACTATTTTTTTATTATTTATGTGTGTAAACTTTATGATTTAATTACAATTTAGTTTGATAATTTAATCATTTAATTTAGCATTTCATCAACTCAAGAACCCTCTTGAAATTCCCTTGCAAACCTCCGTTTGGGAGACCCTGATCTAAGCGAAAACACATTATTTTTGTGTGTCTCTTTAAATGCAAATGAGCTCCCAGAAGAGGGCTATGCCTTTACAGCTCTTGCCGTGGATACTCCAGCAACAACAAACAAAATATCTGCTTGCATTTTAAAGCCTTTTCAGTTTAAATTCCTGATATACGGTTTTCTGAGCACACGCAAAGCACGTACACAGAAAGCCAGTAGTCAGATGTCGCATCGTGTGATCATTTAACTAAGATTTCTTTCACATTAGCTGTCAAATACACACAAGGTTATGTCAAAATAACACACAAAAATACAATTTCACATTATGTTGGTTGTGTCTGTGAATGTAAACCGTTGGGGAAGAAATCGCATGTGTATCAGTATATTAGATCTGTGAAACATTGTCTCTTGGACATGGCGATAACACACTACTTATGCAGCTCAACCAGGCCTCACCCCCTTGGGCATGCCTTAGGCAGAAATTATTTAAATTTTAGATATTGTGACGTGTGCATTCCTGGAAGAAAACCTCTTGGGTTACTGACTTGGTTCCCTGAAATGAGGGAGCGAGATGTTGCATCAAATAGCTGACGCTATTTGGAAACACCTCAGATAGCTATAAACAGCTGATAGCCCTAAACACTTTGTCTCATAGTAGGACATTAATATGTAATATGACAGAACCATTGCAGCCAAACAGCATAAGCATACATACAGTGTCTTACAATAGTAACCTGTTGGCTTTAGGCACATAGCCTGTAATAAGTGATTGAGCATAAGTGTAAGTGGCTAGTGTAAGCAGCACTTCACACATATATGAAAACAGTGGCACAGCTGGTGCTTATCATAGAAGTGCAACAAACAGCAGCAACACCAGCAAATATAGTGGTAAGCATAAGTAACACTACACACCTATATAAAAACAGTGGCACAGGTGGTGCTTATCATAGATGGGCAACGAGTAGTGTGGCACCAGCATAAATTTCGGTCAGTGTAAGCAACGTTACACACCTACATATATACTGGCAGCACAGCCGCACTTATCATAGAAGAGCAATGAACAGTGGCAGCGCCGGGATATATAGTGGTTAGTGTAATCATCACTACACACCTATATGAAAAACAGCTGCTCTGAGGCAGGGGCTGCTTATATATTGTCAATGAGTGAGCAGCTGGAGCAGGTAGATCGCCTCTCTGAAACTGCTTATTTTCATGTCCTGAAAGTCCACCACTGGTCCCTATCTCTGGCGAAAATCACAGGTAGTTCAGGTAGAAGCGAGGGACGCAGAAACTGACTCAGCCTGAGCTCATCCCCTGACTCAGTTGCCTCTGGCTGCTGCTGCTTCCTTCTCCATGGCTCTTAGGCTGTGGGAGGACGGAAGCAATTCAGTGGCCAGCTTATTGTCAAAGGCAAAGCAAGGCAACAGCATGATTTAATCATATTTCAGTATTTCTAGGAGAAAGGGTGTTTCCCCATAGTGTCCGCTATCTGCCGCAATGTTGAGAGACTGATATTGAAAGGGAACTCAGGACTACAATGGAGGCGTTTGAGGAAGTACATAAACAGTGCATACTGATATAGAGAATAACTCCCTTTGGAGTTATTGCTTTGTAAGGACTGTGCTTTGTAAATTTGCTGATTTTTTTCATGCTCAAATAGCAACATTATGCACTAGTTAAAAGTGTAAAAAGCATAATTGAACACTTTATATTTACTTTCTCAATATCAGAGTGAAATTGTACTGTAAACAAGGTGCTGATAATTCCATTTTCGTCCTGATAAGAGTGTAAAGTCATGTTGACCACAAGAATAAGGTCATAAATGTCTCTCTCTTTCCCTGACTCCACTGACATGACTTTCCACTTAGTGTACCCTTAATAATAATAATAATAATAATACTTTATACCACCTTTAATACAAAGAGCTCAAATTGCTTTACAATAAGCACCAAGTACTTCACATGAAAACTAATAAAAATACCATAATTAATATACCATTATTTAAAGATTAAACCCTCTTTATAATGATAATGAGATACAATTAGAGTACATAAAATACATAATCAGATTAAAACCAAGTAATAATAAAGGCAACTTAATGTATAGAATGCTTCAAAAAAAATAATTAGCTTTTTAAAAACCCAAGTAAAAAGATAAGGTTTTAGCTTATAGACCTAAACCATTTGTACTGAATTTTTTTGTGTTGGGTACATTTCTTTTTCCTGTGTGAGAATATTGATGTTCTTTTCTGGGTCTGTATTGGACAGGAGGAAGCAGCGATACCAGAGTGCTCCCAGGAACATCCATAGACATGTGCTGATGTCTGAGATCAAGGAGGCAACAGCTACCCTTCCTTTAGTAAGAGACATACCTAATTTTCTAAACTACACCTTGAGAAGCAGTAAGAACGCAGTAATCAGAACATACTCTCTTTGACACCGCATGTAATCGAGCCATTGTTGATTTGGAGGGAATCCTCTGTAAACCTTCAAAGCATTTGACCAAAAGTCTTTACCATTTTGCAAATTTTCTTTGGTTTGAGGTTTGATTTTTCAGGGGTCGCCTTTTTGAACGATCCTTGGTCAGTGTTATTTCTTGTGCAGGAATATGAAGTTTCTGCAGCATTGTATAGTACATCTGCCACCCCTAAACACACCACCAACAGCAGAAGAATCATTCAGTTATAAGCATCATATAACATTCAGGGATGCAAACTTGTTACCTTTCAGCGAAATTCTGCGTTTTGAATTCAAAATGGGTAATTTGTGTGATTCGTGTAGTTCCGGTGAGTTTTTAAAATAGTTTGGGGGGGGGGGCTTTTTACAGTGCCAGTAGTACCAACTCAATTCTGTACCCGCTTGAAGTCACCCTCTTTCAAACACTCCTGTGCGTTTTTGTGCACGTATGGAAGTTTTTTTCTGAACAAAATTCAAATGCCTAAAAAGATAAAATAGTAAATCAATCTCTCAAAACAACTGCTTAAATGATAAATCAAATGCTCACATGATCAAATAATAAATCTAACTCTCAAAATGGCTTCTCAAATGAGAAATCAAATACTCAAATGCAGTTTAATTTCCTCATTCAGGGAAGCATGAACTATCAAAATCAAATTAAAAATCATTTGTATTTTTATATTTAATTTTCATTATCAACACATTATAAACCTGCCATAATTAAATCTAATTCAGTTCATGAATCAAATGCTCAAACCGACATCACAAATGATTAATCAAATGTTCAAATCATAAATCAAATGCTTAATTGGACATTGCAAATAATAAATCAAATACTCAAATTATAAATCAAATGCTCAAACGGAAACCGCAAATCAAATACTCAAACGGACATTGCAAATGATAAATCAAATGCAAATGAGGAGTGTCAATCAAGTAGCGTGGGCGGAGCTTTGAGACGCAACGAGCACGAGAGGGTGAAATCTTTGCGCGGCAGGGGGAGCTGCCACAACTGAAGGCAGCTGCCAATCCGATAGATGTGTGTGAACGAACATACAGTGCAACCCGGGTCTCCTTCTCTTGTTTTATCACCTTATACAATATATAATTCCTTCATTTTTATCTCAAATGCTACCAGCAGGAGCCACCACGTTACGCACAATAGGTTAATTCACCATTAACCAAACGCTTTTCACACTGTTTACACTCAGATTCATTCATTTGAATTTTGTTAGGAAAAAACTTACATACGTGCGTGCTCTGGTTTCAAATTACAAAACCAAAAGTTTCTATTTACAATGTGTTTTGCAGCATTGAGTATTGTAGCCAATCACAGGTATCTCTGTTGAAAGCAGTGGCCAATCAGAGGTTATTACTGTAGGTTATTCAGAATCCGCTCTGAACTCATTTTTGTTTTAGCAAGGTTATGTAGTTCTACATGCTCACAGATCTTCATATTATAATAAAGACAAAAAGAAAGCATACATAATGTAAATAGGTATTCATTGTGTAGTTAATTATTGATTACATCAGGAGTTTTCGCGTGAGTAAGCTCGGTCAGTTGCGCTGTAAGGGAAGCACCCTTTTGTTTCTCTACATACTTCATTCACAGTTTGAAGAAAAGGTTTGTTTGTCTAAGACAAGCGTGCCACATGAGTCCTGAAAATTGAAGACAAAGCATCTCGATCACCCCCAGGTGACTGGATGCAGTATACAGTAGGTCATAAACCCGCTCTCACCATGTAATGTAATGAGATCTGAGACAAACTAAACAATCAAATTACACTTCAAATATTTTTTTTCCAAAGATATTTTCTGTCATCTTAGGTAGTTCTTAGCATGCTGATGTATGTTCATGTGGTGTCATGATTGTGATCTTGCCATTGGGTCTGCGTGACTTTGGGCGGAACTTTGATACCGTGGCTCCACCTCACAATCACTACTGTGCAGACTATGGTTCCAAATGATGTAATTTTCACAAGATGACAACGGCCATACTGAGAATGTTTTGACTTCACTTTTCTATAGTGGAAGGAAGTGGAGACATGTCGTCCATTTTTTATTTATTTATTTTTTAACACAGTCTATGGTCTAAGAGGACCCAACCGTCCACGTATACTGTTTCAGGAATGACAAACGCGAGTGTAAAAAATTACGCGAGTGAATCTGCCAAATTGTTGCGCGATTGATGGTGATAACTGTAATGGATGGATCAAACTATCTGACAAGCCGATGTCAAAACAGAGCTGTGCTGTAAGTGATGCAGAGTAAATTCAGAGTAAAAAACTATGGCAACAACAAGTCTGTGTTGGAAAGTGAAAGAAAGTGATGAAAGTGATTGTGACGTGGCCAAGTATGGTAACCCATACTCTGAATTAGTGCTCTGCATTTATCCCATCCTAAGTGCTGTGTGCCGCCGTGTTCTTCTTTTTCTGAGGTAATGCAAAGCTTATTCCACTCAGCGCGTCTTTTTCTGAGGTAAATTCTGTCTTATTCCTCACAGCGCGTCTTCCAGAAACGAACAGTAGCCGAGATGAACTTGAGGAAAAGTCTTGCTGCTTTGTTTGCTGTGATGCGGGCGAAAGTAGCGCGTGGGAGTGATCTAATTAGAGATAATGAAGCTAGAAGGAGAAAGACTGGATATCGCGTTGGTTTCATATGGATTACTTTAGTCTTATCAAAAACAAATATTCTGTGATAGTGTTGTTTTTGGCGGCCTGTTTTAATTTTAGTTTTATTCTAGTCTTTGCGTGAAGCTGTCATTTGAGTTTTTATTAGTTTTAGTCATGTTCAAACTCTTTTTAGTCTAGTCAAGTTTCAGTCAACTAAAAGTCGGAGCATTTTAGTCTTATTTTAGTCAGAATTATCCATGACTATTTTCGTCTAGTTTTAGTCGATGAAAACTGATGGCATTTTAGTCTAGATTTAGTCAACGAAAATTGTATTTTAGTCTCTTTTTAGTAATGCAATTCTGTTTAACCCAGTCAATATAGTTTAAGTACCTAGTAGTATAGACGAAACCAAAATTTTCTTTTAGCCAAACCCATTTCAAACAAGGTTATCTTATTATATTATTGTTACCTTATAGTCTCAAGAATACATCCATTCCAGACACGGAAGACGCTCTGATTTGAATTTATAACATTTATTTTACCAACCAAACATGTTAGAAGTACACACACACACATTTAAATTAAGATGAACCCCGGCTGGCCAGCCATCGGTCCCTTTCTCTGTGTCAGACTTAACTTTGTTTGTTGTCGTCTTCTAAATAATGCCGCGAGTGGGGCTTGAGGAAGTGACGTCGCCTGCATCTGCGCAGTGTGACCTGATGCAGCCCCTGAAGTGAGACACAGGAAACAGAAATACTGCAAAATAATAATAATAACGTGACTAAACGAGACGAAATAACGTTATAACATTTAGTTTCGTCTCGTTTTGGTCAACGAACATGAAGAGACATTTTAGCATAGTTTTTATTTTGTAAACCACATTTAGTCTCGTTTTTATTCGTAAACAATATTGCATTATACATTTAATTATAGTCATCGTCACATGACCAGCATTTATGTTGCGTCTCATCTCGTCTTGTTTTCGTCACGTGATAAAGGTTCGTTGAAGACGATATTTAGTCATAATTTTCGTTTACGAAAGCAACACTAGATAAGACTTGCTTCATTTAAAAATAGGCTCCGATCCGCCTTTTTCGCTTCCAATACCGATTCCGATACCTAGGGTTCAGTATTGGCCGATACCGATTCCGATCTGATACCAGTTAAGTTTTTTTCCCTCATTTAAATAAATTTACAATTTATATATCTCTGTGTGTGGAACTGATATTCATTCTTTCACAATCTACTAGATACAGACTACTTCATTATAAAAAATAAAAAATAAACAATTATGAAAAAAATATAGGCCTATGTATATTTATAATCTATGACAACAATTTATCATAAAGTAGGTTAGTGGATAATTCGGCAGCAAAAGTTATTCTAGAAAAATCAGTGCACAATAATTTTAGAAATCCAAACATTTAGTGAAAAACTATTTTGTGGGGAACAAATAAAAGTGCTAAATATGGTAAAATGTTACACATTGCTATTTGTATTATTATAAAACCATTCATTAAAAACATTCATGAATGTATTTATATATATATATATATGTTATGCCATTTTACAAACATATATAATGTTTGTAAAATGGTACAGCTTTTTAAATATCTCAAAGTACACTCTTAATATCAGTCAGTCAAGCAGTCAAGCATTATAATATGATAATCAAGTATTATTTAATAATAGAAGTTTAGTAATTAGAATTAAAACTTGGTAACCATGAACTTGGGACTGGTGCTGGTGCTTTTTTTGGTCATTCAGTGTTCCTGTAAAAAAAATGAACAATAACACTGATAAGATATTATTATTATTATTATACGAATTCTACTAATAAGAACAAATGCACTAAGGATTAATGAGCTACTGGATTCATGGAAGGAACTCCGTTATTTTTACAGGAAAATACAACAAAGTATATTGTTTACATGTAGCGCATCAATTCTGCATTTTATGTAAGACTCGCTCTTTGAGCGTGTGAGAGAAAGCGACGGCAAGTCATGCGCCTTCACACTAGAAACACGTTCCGCCAAATACACAAACACAGGTGCGCTGCGCATCCATTCAGATGAACTGAAAAATATCACAGATCGCTTGATGGAGAGTGAAGCTCTGAAGCGCTCAGTCAGAGTGTTCTGTGAGTGAAAATATATCTGTGCTAATCATATACTCAGCATCCAACTCACACACTGGCGAGTAAAATCTGAGAATTGATTAGCCATTGGCTAATATTAGACATCATTTAGTCGCCCAGAGTGAAGATTTAGCCGCATATGCGAGGGATTTACTCTCAATACAGAGGGTTGACAGTCTATGAGCACGAAGCGCTTACAATGTGCGCACATTAAGCGCTTCGTGTTAAAAACTGCAAAGCACAAAGTGAAGAGAAATTGATGCGTAGTGTATTATATCTGTGCAACAGTTTATTGAGCCTTTCTTTTAACAGTTTTAAATTTCAGTTACTGTGCACGTTAAAAACAATTTATAGTCTTTTCTACGCCCGTGTTTTGTCCTCACAGACATCCGGTAGCAAGTAACAAAACATTAAACTCCGGCAAGAAGATAAAGTCCTTTTTGCAAAATCATAGACATGTATTTACAAATCAAGTATAATGGGAACACAGAATGATCTTGGAGAGAGCTTTACCGAGCTGACTGCTGTAACCGAACGCGGCCAGAGTTTAAAGGCTGAACGAATGACTGACAGCCACAGCGGAGAAAGGAGTTTGTGTGAACTTTAATTGTAAGGACTTAAATATTCATATGTAGCTCACATTAAGCTATCGTATGGCTTCAGAAGTAACACAGAATAATTTGCACAATCAAAAAAAAAAAAAAAATCTTGGATTTGGATCGGTTCTCTCTGCCCGATACCCGATCCGAGAAAAATGGCACTATCGGAGCCGATATCCGATATGAATATCGGATCGGCGCATCCCTATTTAAAAATAGACATGTCAAGCTTTCTAAGATTATAGCTCTCATGTCTCTGTGTTGAGTATTCACTGAGTTTCAGTTCATTTTAGTGACGCGTTTCTAAATGAAGATCACGGAGAACAAAGTGGCAGACAACGCACCGTTTGTTTTCTTTATTTTACAAAAGCACAAAGTTTTGTTGTCGTTATGTGTGTATACAAATAAAAGTAGACCCTTGACAGATTCGATTGATGTATTGCTCTTAGCTGTACGATCAAAACTGATGGAGAAATTTAAGCTCCCTTAGGGGCTTTAAAAAAAAACTGCAACAAAACACGCCGTCAACCCCAGAGGGTTAAATGAAAATGAAACTTTTCTGAAGACAGTCGGTTCCCATTTAGAGAGATATTCATATAAAAACACCCACGCTTCGTTTTTACTTTGAATAGTGCAGCTCATATTTATTTAATTAAATCATAGCCTTTTGAAGTTTAATCCTCACATTTAGCCATAGTGTAATTCTTACTGTCTTTCCGTTCCCAAATTTGAGATGTTTAAATTATAATAAAGACTTTTCTTGTACCATTTAAGCCTTTTATGGTCTTAAATTTGATACAACTAAATGTAAGACTTTTTAAGGACCTGCGGGAACTCTAACCCGCCAAAGTGGCTAGTGGGATTGACTGTGTTACATGCCACTTCTGAAATCCACTTGCATTTGACAGGTGTTAATGTCAAGCCCTGAACATAACCCTCATGTGCAAATCCCAAAATTTTAATATAAACATGATTTGGTCAATTTATAATCTTTTATAACCATTAAGGACACAAAAAAGGCCCTCACTAGTTGGTTGATATTTCGCTATATAAGTGAGGACATTTGGCTCTCAAGTATAGCTAAACAATCACACACTCGCATACAAAACTGTGTTGATTTTGTATTACGTTGGTTTATAAGGATTACTTGACTGTTAGACAAAGTATTAAATGTGATATGTAGTTTTGTTCATATATAGTTTATCTGTTTCATTATTTAATACTACAAAGGTTCTTTTGGTTCCTTACAGGAAGTGACCACACAGCCAGGAATGGGTTTTGACCCTCTCCCTCCTCTGGACTCCATTGTGTCTTACATCAGACCAGAAAGGTATGACCTAAATGCGCTTAAGTTCTCTGCCTTATATGATACAGGGCTTTTGATGGTGTTTTAAAGGGGTCATATAAGACGTCTTTATATAATTAAAATGCCCTGCAGAATTCATAGCTTAAAATGTCCTCCTCATTATAAATTTATTATTTATTCAAGGTCCAAAAATGGTCAGTTTGAATATTGTGGAATTTGTGACCTCACACAGGCACAAAATGTGCATATTACTGTCTCCAAAGCAAGATATCAACGAATAGTTATACATCATCGCAGCATAGGCCTCGCCCACTGGTGTTCAGTTGCTTAATGGCTGACACTGTCCTACACTGGATGTGAATGTCACATTATGTCATGTCAAAAGCAGATAAGAACCCATTATAATCACCGATACTGAAATCTGTTCTGTTATTGACATACTCCACATGCTTGAGTCTGCTGACAACAGAACAAATGGAAAAGTAAAAACATTTTCTTTGACGTGTCCTGTTTAAACAGCTCATTTGCATCTCTGTACAGACTTCAGAAGGATCCCAGTGACAGGAACAAGTGAATGGTTAATTTTTAATGGTGTTCCAGTTGTTCAGAGCACTAAACTGCAGATTGTTTTGTAAACGAGGCACAGCTCAAGTGTAATGGAGAGTTGACAAAGAAACGTTGCTGGTTGTTCAACGTAACCATGGCTCCCCAAGAGGAGGGAATGAGACATTGTGTCAAGAGTATGGGGATCGCATAAAATCATGCCATGTTACTAAGTTAAGTAAGTAAATTTTATTTACATAGCACATTTAAACATAGCAAAGCTTTCCAAAGTGCTGAACAATATCAAATAAATTTAAAAGAGAAAAAAACAGAAAAGAACCAAACAAGACAATGAAACAACAATAAAGTGAGATTAAAATGCTAAAGAGAAGAGATACGTTTTCAACCTCGGTTTAAAAATGGTAATGGAAGGTGCAAGGCGAATGTCCAGAGGCAATTGGTTCCACAGACAGGGGGCAGTGACAGAAAAAGCTCGGTCACCCTTCGTTTTCAAATGGGAACGAGGGACAAATGAAAGAGCCCTATCAGTGGATCTTAAAAGTCTGGTAGATGACAAAGGAATAAGAAGATCTTTGAGATAAGATGGAGCTTGATGGTTAAGAGCTTTAAAAACAAACAACGGAATCTTAAACTGAACTCTAAAATGGACCGGAAGCCAGTAAAGGGAAGCTAAAATTGGGGTGGCATGGTCATCTTTCTTTGCCCCAGTCAGCAGCCTTGCAGCTGCATTTTGTACCAACTAAAGATGTGTAAGCGATGACTGAGGAAGACCGGAGTACAGTGAATTAAAGTAAACGAGAGGTAATAAAAGCATGGATAACCTTCTCCAAATCTTGAAAAGACAAAAATGATTTAAGTTTGGAAATGACCCGCAATTTATGGAAACTGTTCCTAACAACATAATTGATTTGTTTGGATAAGCCTAGTTCTAAGTCTATGATAACATCCAGGTTGCTAACCTGTGAGGAAATTGAGGGGAAATGATTGCCCAGCTCCTTAATGATATCCGTCCTCATTTTTCGGGGACCAAAAACAATCATTTCTGTTTTGTTCTCATTGAGTTGGAGAAAGTTATTTGATTAACCATTTTTTCATTTCTGAGATACATTCCAACAAAGGTTGAATGGAATCACCAGCTTTTAGCGTGTATCATCAGCATATAAATGAAAAGAAACATTGTGCTTCCTAATAATATCCCCCAGAAGGGAGCATATATAAGTTAAAAAGAAGTGGCCGCAGAATAGAGCCCTGAAGTACTCCATTAATGATTGGGGCAGATGATGAGGAAAACTTGCCTAGCTCTACAGAAAAAGACCTGTCTTTGAGATATGAGCTGAACCATCGTATGGCTGTGCCCCTGATACCGATCAAATGTTCACCAAATAAGAACATTATGATCTACAGTATCAAAGGCAGCTGTAAGTTCAAGTAGAATCAGTACTGCATTTTTACCGGCATCAACTGCAACCAATATATCATTGAACACTTTAAGCAAAGCAGACTCTGTACTGTGATAAGCAGTGAAACCAGATCGAAAAGGTTATGATAAGTTAGCTGTATTTAAGAATGAGATCAACTGTAATTGACAGAAATGATAACTTTGAGACAGACCGAAAATTATTAAAGCAACTTTCACCCAAACCTTGCTTCTTAAGCAAAGGCTGAACAACCACATGCTTAAAGCAATTCGAACCACACCAGTGTCCAAAGATGAGTTAATCAACACTTGGATACTAGGGCCAATTACTGGAAAGGCTGCTTTTATGATTTCTGGGGGAACAAAATCGAGTGAGAAGGTAGTTGTCTTCATTTTGTTAATGAGATCAGAGAGTTCCATTAAAGAGACATGTTGAAAACGACAAAAGAAAAATGGACTGGCCAGTGAGTTCAATGACAGGTCAGAGAGCTGTGGAGTAAAAGATAAACGAATGGCACTCACTTTATCAACAAAAAATTATAAAAATCTCTCACAGCGCTTTGGTGACGGCTCCCTAGAAAACTGGGAATTTGGGTTAATTACTGAATTTATTGTGGAGAATAAGATCCTAGGTCTATGACAGTGTGCAATATTCAGATCTGAAAAATATTTTGATCTAGCTGACTTAGCAGCACTCTGAAACTTAACCAGACACTCTTTAAAAATCTCAAAAGACAGTCAGACGATCATGCTTCCATCTCCTCTCTGCTTTACGGCACGCCCTGTCTAAGAGAGCGAGCGTTGTCATCCAACCAGTAATACGATTTTATCTTTGGTTGTTTCAGTTTAAAAGGAGCAATCGAAATCATCAATGAATACATCATCTGCAGATAAACCATATGACATAATAAGGTCTAGTGTGTGACCAAGTTCATGAGTTGCTTGATTTATATGTTGAGAAAAACCAAATGAGTCCAAGATATTGCAAAACTCCGCAACCAAAGGACACCCCGGGCAGCATAGATGTATATTAAAATCGCCCAGTAGTAGCATACAATCATACAACGGAGCAATAGAAGTTAAAAATTCAGAGAAATCACTTCCCAGAAAAATCCCAGAAAAGGTGGCCTATAGATGAGAGCACAGAACAGCACGGATGAAGTAGACTGTAATGTCGCGCACACTACTTCAAACGATGAAAAAGTCAGAACAGAAACTGACTGTATTTTAAATGATTGTTTAAAAACTATAGCAACCCCACCCCCCCTACCAGCAGATCTTGGGGTACTAATAAAACAGCAGTTTGTTGGACAAAGTTTTTCAAAAACTGACAACTCACCAGCACCGGCCCACGTCTCACAATGGGTAAAAAAAAAAAATGTGTGACCAAGTTCATGAGTTGCTTGATTTATATGTTGAGAAAAACCAAATGAGTCCAAGATATTGCAAAACTCCGCAACCAAAGGACACCCCGGGCAGCATAGATGTATATTAAAATCGCCCAGTAGTAGCATACAATCATACAACGGAGCAATAGAAGTTAAAAATTCAGAGAAATCACTTCCCAGAAAAATCCCAGAAAAGGTGGCCTATAGATGAGAGCACAGAACAGCACGGATGAAGTAGACTGTAATGTCGCGCACACTACTTCAAACGATGAAAAAGTCAGAACAGAAACTGACTGTATTTTAAATGATTGTTTAAAAACTATAGCAACCCCACCACCCCTACCAGCAGATCTTGGGGTACTAATAAAACAGCAGTTTGTTGGACAAAGTTTTTCAAAAACTGACAACTCACCAGCACCGGCCCACGTCTCACAATGGGTAAAAAAAAAAAAAAAGTAATGTAGAATGAAAGTTTTATTGCATACAGACCTAGCGTTCACTAAGGCCACAGCCATATCACCCTGCAACCCAAGACTGGTTGCCCACTGAAGTTAAGCAGGGTTGAGCCTGGTCAGTACCTGGATGGGAGACCTCCTGGGAAAACTAGGTTGCTGTTGGAAGAGGTGTTAGTGAGGCCAGCAGGGGGTGCTCACCCTGTGGTCTGTGTGGGTCCTAATGCCCCAGTATAGTGATGGGGACACTATACTGTCAAAAAGCACCATCCTTTGGATGAGACGTTAAACCCAAGGTCCTGACTCTCTGTGGTCATTAAAAAAATCCCATCTCGTAAAGAGTAGGGGTGTAACCCCGGTGTCCTAGCCAAATTGCCGCCACTGGCCCTTGTCAATCTTGGCCTCCTAATAATCCCCAACCACTTGATTGGCTCTATGACTCTCTCTCTCTTTTTATATTAAGTAGTTTAAGCTTTAATTTTGTAATGGGCTTTCACCCTTTTTAGTTTTATTATTAGTGTGCCAGTTTAAATGATTTCAGTTAGTTGCCGGTGCAGCAAAACTCAACATACCCAAACTTAATAGATATACAATTATTTATTATACAAATGTAATTGGCTAAGCTTTATTTAGTTTACCAAAAAATGCCAAATTGTCAATAAATCTGCCACTGAGGTGTTGTGGTTTATTATCACTTTAAGGAAACGCAAGCAACTTTATAAATGCATTTTAATGTTTCATCAAATTCTGTTACAAATGTATTGGTCTTCAGAGAAGGAATTTAAACAACCCCCCCCCCCCCCCCACAATAAATCACTATATAAATGCATCATTCATTCATTCATTCATTCAAGGCCATATTCAATGGAGGCTGTGATGACAAGTCCAGATCCAGATGTTGAACAAAGTTCAGTTGTCAGAGATTTGAACAGTTCACTCCCCTCTGATGAATCCGTAAACGCGGAGGAGCAGAGAAAATAGATGAGTGAAGATCCGGGAAAACCGGGAGATGAAAAACATATCTATAATCCCATGAGCGTCGCGACAAGTGAAGACCCTCCAAGCTTATACCATCCAGAGGAAACTCCATGGAAGAAGCAGTTGCCCTTCTGATTCTCACCCGAACACCACCACGATTACCTCTCTTCCTGCGGCGCTTCCTTAAGAAAGGAACACAGTACGGTAACCGGCGAGCACAGTCCA